GCTCGTGCTAGTTCTGTGTTTCCATCGAGTCCTAGAAACACGATTTTAACCAATCAGCGTGCGTATTTTCCTAGGGCTGTTTTCTTAAAATGAAATGAGGGACGATTATGAAGTGATTGGACATGCCCCTAAGCTAATGGCATTGTGGCTAACTGAAATATTTGAAACGGCCAACAAACAACGGGAAAGTTACGGTAAAGGGCAAGCAAGTTTACAGAGGTGGAGGTTAGGGTCTGAAAATCCCTTGCAAGTGTATGTTTGAAGGCGATTCATTCTCCATCACATGGCTGAAGAACAAGCTAATTAAAAAGGAATTTCTAGCTTAAGAGTGAAGCATATTCAAAACAAACATTTTTTGGTTTCATGATATGGTACTGTACTTCAGCGCATTGTGGACATCTGAAAGCGTTAACAATACTTAACGTCCGACTATCAGCTTAAAGTGGCTTTATTCATTTTATTTCTTCACAGTGATGATGGATAGCATTTTAAACACAATGAAATACCACATAAAATAACATGTGCCTTAGTTTCCGTTCGAGGGTGGCCGCTTAATACAGGTAAAAAGAACAAAGAAGGACAAACATAGGACTGCTACGGGGTGGCTGCAGCCGCTTATATATACAGGTAACAAATACAGCATTTGAATGAGTGAAAAATCAGGACTTTGAAAACTGGCTGCTTAATTGGCCGCTCAATACAGGGCCGTTATGACCCGTTATCTACAGGTTCGACTGTATTTAATAAGTGAAATAAAGTTATGATTAACATGTGGCTCACATAATTTCTATGCCAAGCCTTCAACCTCACTGTGCTTTTAGACCAAAAAAAATGCATTTTAACTGCCAGGTTGTAGACTATTTGTAACGTTTTGAACTAATTAAAAGTAAATTAGGTTTCGATCACTCTATATTTATCGGGCATTGGCAGGTTGGTTTACCTAGGTCTTGAGATACCCATACCTGCGGATAAACATAGCTTTCAAGAGTTGTAAGATTTTCAGGATTGTACCTAAAAATTGTAACAAGATATATATATATATATTAATAATATATACCATTGTTAACTTATGATTGGAATTTATAAATACAATAGAATCCTACTCTACTGATAACACACACTTAAAATACAGACACCCTCTTATTACAGACAGCTTTGTTTGTTCCAGTGGAAAGCTCATTCATTTCCTCTTACATAATAGCCTGCTCAATATATATACGAACTCCATATTCATCGCACACAGACAACAGATACTTTTTTGTGACCCAAGAGACACTTTCACACAAACTTAACTTTGCTTAACGAAAATGATTATCTGTACCCCGAATATAATCCTCTTATTGTACTCTTGAATAAAAGCTTTCTACTGGTTAATGCATGTTGTTACTAACACAAGCTTACAGAGAAGAAAAACAGAGTCACATGTTTGATGACTGCATCTTTCAGTCTGGTTTGACTTTGTAGACCCTGGTGTGAGACAGTTGACTATTTGAATAGGCGTATGTTTTATTCAGTTAATTGAATCTAAATTACAGTGAAGACATTAAACATCGTTCTGTTCTTTGCTTTAGTCTTTGAATCGATAAAACAAGTGACTCTTAATTACTGTTACAGTCATGCTGATAACACAGACACTTAGGGTTAGAGACCCGTATGCTGAGAACTTCATCCTAAAAGTACCAGAAATTGAGTTTAAGACGTTTATGCTTTAAGATTTTAGTCATTATGCTCGATGCTCTGACTACAGCATTATAATACCCAAAATTATGCAGCATAATTTATCTGACCCTATCCCCGCTTGGTAATCCTTTCTAATTATTTTATGACAGACCTTTGGAACAACCTCTTCCTTTGGCAGAAATAGAACTTTGTGTTTTACTGGGTTTTTTTTTTTTTAGCAAATTAACCGGCTAGTAAGTGGGAAGTTAATAGCGTTAATGAAAAATTTTGCGAACAGGAAACAGCTGACCGAGAAGCGAATCTTCGAGGGGAAATGAGAAATTTTGAAGCCAAGGGCACAAAAGCTATACCAGGAAGCCAAACACGGGTTTGTTTTAGGACATGGCTTGCCACACAGTCAAGATTAAGGGCAGGCAACTTAATCAGTTTGCTTGATTATATTACCTTGTGATTATTAGTGACCTGACAATGGGAGTGCACGTTCATTCAAATGTCATTCCAGACATCCCAGCTAGTCACTCCATAACTGCGAACTGCAACGGTGTTCGCAATCTAGTCTGGTGTCAGCAGTCGTGCCTCAGAACATCTAAGCATCCCCTACAAGGAAGGCTCCTATAACATAGTCTAACTGGCTGCTGACGCTTCGTATCTTGCTGCGAAACTTGATGAGCACAGGAATGCTTTTTCTGATGGCTTTCCCTGAGGGACGGACCATTAGAAAATGATAGGAGATTAAAAATTCAGCTTAAGCGATTTTTTTTTTCACCCATTTGTTGTGCAGAATGGTTTTTGCAAGTGAGACCCTCTTCAACAAATTTACTTATTTGTTTATTTTTAACGACTTCCATACGACTTTTCTTCTGCTTGTATTTTTTTTCTTTGCCTTCTTTGCTCGAATTTTTTTCTAGCCTTTTTTTCCTTGTGTGAAGAAGGAATTTTTCTAATGGCCTGTTTTGGCCAGTAAAATCGATGTCTTAAAGAGGATTATTTATGAAAATGTTGTTGTTTCCCTCAAATCTGCACGGAATGATTGACACAGCACCGTCGTTGCTCGGGAAACTGTGCCTGGAGTACCAGGAAGAAAGCCGTATCGAGTGGTTMGTCGAAGTAACAACAGACCATCAGYTTATAAATGGAAATATAAARTTTAGAAAATTGGCCAAGGTTTGKAAGTTACAATCTATATTTCCATTTTGGRAATCTGTTGCCAGATAATGAAGAGAACTATCAATCCTCTAGGACAGGAATTGTAAGCCTGAGTGACAGGCGCTAGACAGGGAATCAGGCACGCGCAGTGGTAATTCAATATATGATTTATCGCATATTTTCCTTCACGGATTGATATGACTAGCTCCCAGTTGCTAAAGCCCTGCCCACCGCAAAGGTCATGCGCATGTTTTATTGCTGTTACACTGCGGGACGAGGGAAACTGGGCTGGAGCACATGTCGATATCGATACATGAAGTACATAATCGTCTTTCGGTGGTCGCTCTTTCGAAGTTTTCATACACGTTACTAGTAACGTCTTTAATGATGACGAACATTTCTTCTGCGGAATGCCCGATGACAGAAGTTGAAACTGGGATTACACATAGTTCCTATTCTTCAAGTGTAAGTTCTTTCTTAAGCTCTATTCTTAGATACCGATACGTCTTCAGAGGTCACAGATTATCTTCTCTTCAATTGTTGGAAGAATTGTTCAATACTTTAAGTCTGGGTCAGCTTGGTTGGAAGTACGTCGCTACAGGAAGTGTGTCGGAGGGTCACTTTGAAAAAGTTGGTGACATGGATAATATGTGGGTTGATCCAAGTCTTCAAGTGGTGTTTGAAAATCAGACTGTTGCGGAAAGGAAAGGGCGTGACGTGCACCTCCTTACTGCCAAGTCATTCGACCATCCTGGATTTTACCGCCTCTTCAGTGAGTCTGGTGAGTTACACGAAGTCTATGAGCATTGTAAAGTTCAAATTTCTGAGGGGCCTGCCTACATTTCCAGCGAAATGTTCATGGGAAGAATGTTTGATCAGTTGACGGCAGCACTCGATGCCGAAAGTCACAAAGGCCCAGCAATTCAACGGCCTGCCTTGTCACAAATTCACATGAAAACAGACGATGTGTTTGCTCTTTACTCTCAAGAATGGCCAGATTTTGTCAGACAGGTGCGCTTTAAAAATTCCAAATGGCCACGTGGAAAGGCCCTACAACAGTTAGCCAGAGCTGGTTGCCATGTTGTCCCCATTGGTAAACATAACAGTTTAACCAAATCTCTGGAATGGAGGCTTTCATTTTCCTCAGCAGAAAAAATGATCATGCATTCGCTAATCAACTCCACTCAGTTGTATACTTACAACATGTTGAAGCTCCTCCTGTCCCATCTCATGAAAGAATCCAAGGTTGTTGATGAGGTACTGTGTACATACTATATCAAAACTGTTTTTTTCTTTGCCATTGAAGAAGAGCCCGAGTACCTTTGGCAGGAAAGTACTTTGCTGGATTGTATTCATTTGGTGATATCTCGGTTATGTAATTGTTTGAGAAACCATTTGCTGCCAAACTTTTTTGTTCTGGAGAATAACATGATTCAGCATCTTCCATTTCAGTCATGCAGCAAAGTGGCAGAACTCATTCATACCAGAATCCTGTCAAAACTGGATATAGTGCTCATCCATCTGGTGGAGCTTGGTAAGGTGGCTTTAGAAGAACATAATTGTCTGGCTAAATTGTCGTCACTACCAGAAATGACAGATTACAGTGATGCTGGAAGATCAGAATCAATCTCTCACACAATGATTGAAGCATTAAGAAATCTGTCTCCTGCTAAAGAAGAACATTTTTTAACAACAGTTGAATCTACATTTTGTGAAGGAAGCATGTTATCACGTGACTGGCACCGGATGCAAATTAGGAATGACTTACAAAACTTCCTTGACCCTGTTTTTTATGCAAGTTTACCAGCACAATTTTCCTTGGGGAAGNTTTTTTATGCAAGTTTACCAGCACAATTTTCCTTGGGGAAACTGGAACAGGGATTATTGCTCTGTATTGACCATGCACCTACAATGTTTCCAGCTCCAACTGCAAACTGTTTTGTGCAGATTTTGTATAGAGCATGTGGAAATGTTTGCCACCAAGCATCACAGGTGGTACAACTTGACAAAGAAAAACAAATGTGGCAGGACAAGGCTGAATGTTACTACCAGAGAGGGAGATATGTTGTGTACGATGATGGATTTGATGATAGGGGCTTCTCTGGCACAGTTCACTTGATGCAGTTTTATTACCTGAATGGAAACTTTGATGCTTGTTTTCAACAAATAAATTCCATTCAAGAAGTTTTAAACTTTGTCTCCTTTGAGGAAGTCAAGGATATCTGTAGATATGCTGTTTTGACTGAAATATGCAATCCTGTCCATTTGCCTCTATTGATGAGCACAGACCCTAGTCTGCACAAATATTTCAGTTCCTTGAAGTCTGGAGATTCAAGATTCATTAATTCAATGGCTTTTGCTCACTACATGAGTATCAAAGTAACACAGAAAAGGGAACAAGGAAAATGGCAGGAATCACTCATGAGAAGGTTTGAAAATTTCTGCCAACACTTTTTGCATCTTCAAGCTCCAGTAAAAATTGACAAAGTAGCAAGAGAATCATGTGAATTACTTAGAGACATATTAAAGCAGGAAACCTAAAAAGAAATAGTAAACCTCACCGAATTAGAGCAGGGTGTTTGAAAATATGAAATAATCAAATGTAAATTGTGACACATTTAACTCTTTCCCAGGTCACCCTGTATCATACCAGCTGTTGCTACTGCTGCTACAACTCATACAATGCTCAGGTTTCAGAGTTTGTCGTCTTTCTTGTGTTGTTTCTTATGTCAGTAATACTTATACAACATCCTTCAACAAACACTCCCTTTAGTGTTAATACCAAGTTTGCAATGTCCCAAGAAGTTACTGTAGTCAAAATGGCATGTAAAATTGACTTAAAACATGCCACCTTTGAGTTACAGTGAATAAGACTTAAGTTTTAGCAAAGGAACACCTGAATTAGATTGCACCATGGAAGAGTATAATTTAGAACTTACACTGTAACAATACTGCTAGTAGAATGTTCTTGTATCCCTCTGCAGATGTCACATGGTGTTCATTATTTAACTTAATTGATCTGTTCAAGTTCACATTCCTTTTTAAGTTCATGTCAACATCAATCCCATCCCAGGGAGTACTGCAAATTAAAAGTGACGAGCAGTGAATGAAGCCATAGTTTATGACCTCAAAAATACTCATAGGCCAAAATGGTTTGTTGCTATCTCCACCTGGCCCATAAAATATAATGTTTTATGTTCTTAACAATAAAATGAGATTCCCTGCCCATTTGGCCACCTTTAAGCTGATTGGCCACAAAAGGGCACTGATTTTTGATAGACTACCCTGGGAGCTTGTGCTGGTGAACAATTGACAAAGTGTTCTTTTGATGAAGAAAAATAGATTTTTTTTTTTGGCTCATGTCTGTTTATTTTATGTTTATTTTGCTGTAATTCATTTTGGTTGTTTATTTTAAAAATTCCATCCATCTGGTTATTTTTTTCTAAGGGCCTGGCTGAACTAGGAAATATCGTTGCAGAGGCCAATGATCCAGTTTAGCCACATGGGAAACATGTTGTGGAGACAAGTTTTGCTACTCAGAAACAAGAAAATGTTTTTGCTTCAGGTCAAAAACATTTGTACTTCTCCGACACAAATTTGGCTTCGACATGTTTTCCAGTTTAGCCACCATGAAAGCAATGCATGTTGCAATGGCATGCATGAGTGAATGTTGATCATAAAAATAAATTTGTGGACTAATTGAAGATCAAGTGGAATCGGAAGGGTATCTGTAATAGTTAACAAACAAGTGACTGTTGTCGTTGTAAAGCTTATCAACTGCCTTAAATGGCCGCGTACAATTTCCCCTCATAACTTATGGTAATTCCATCAAAATAGAACGGACAATAGATTTTCTTTCAAACTTTACCTGTTGGCTGCTTATTTCAAGAGAACTTAAATTTTGAAATAAAAAAGGGGGGCTCCGGTATTCGTTTAGGAGTGGGAGGACCTTCAGTAAACCCCATGATTCCTTAAATTATCTGCTTTCAGAGACGTTTATATTCGAACCATTCACTTTACACTTTGTGAGAGCAGAAAAAAGAGGAGTAAATTAAGGGAGAAAAAAAAAATGGATGTACTGCATCGATGTTTAGGAGCAATTTGATGTGCATTTCATGATAAAAGGTAAAGTCTGCATGCGAGCCAAGTGGCCCATCAGGCCGGAGCTTATCCTGGTTTCTGTAGCATGAAGCGACTAGGAGTATCTCTACTCCCCCC